TGAGTTTAATATAAGGTTATGGTTTATGTTATGGTTAGGTTTATGGGTGTAGAGAGCATTAGGTATAGGGTTAGGGCTAGGATTGTGGTTAGGTATAGAGTTGGGGTTAGAATTAGTTTAGGATTAGGATTGGCTTTAAGATTAGGTATAGGGTAAGGTTTAAAGTTAGGGTCAGGTTTAGGGATGAATTGAGGTATAGGGTTAAAGTTTTAGGTGTTGTTTGGATTAGCATTAGGGTTGTTAATCTTAGGGTTAGATTAGATTGAGAATTGAGGTAAGGTATGAGAAGAGTTTTTAGGATTATGGAAAGTGTTAGATATACGGAAGAGTTGGGTTGAGGTTATGTAAGGTTTTAGGGTTAGTGTTAGAGTTGGGATTAAAGTTAGGATTAGGTTTGAGGTTATGTATAAATTAAATTAGTGGTAGAGGTTATTTTAGGTATAACTAGAATTAGGTTTATGGAGACAGGTATTGGTGTAGTTTTATGGTTAAAGTTAGGGTGAGATCGAGTTAGGTACAGGGTTAGAAATATTACTCATAGGGTTAGGTTTTGGGTTAAGGTAGGTTTGGGGTTAATGTAAGCTTAAGGTTAGGGTTTGGTTTGGGGTTAGGATTAGACATGTTTATGGTATAAGGCTAAGGGTTAGAGTTAGTTTCGGAGTTGAGATTAGGTGTATGGTTAAGGTAAGGATTAGGTAAAGGGTTAGGATTAGGTATAGATTTAGGCATAATATTAGGGTTAAAGTTAGCATTAGGGTTGAGGTTTAAATTAAGGTAGAGTTAGGGTTAACAATAGGGTTAGGGTTTATGTTAAAATTATGTTTGAATGTTAGGGTTATGGTTAGTTTAGATTTTAAGATTTTAAATGTAGGTTTAAGTGATAAGATTATGATTAGTGTTGAGGTTAGGTGTAGGGTTAGGATAAGGATTAGGATTAGGTTTTTTTATAAAATATATTTTTATTGATTTTTTTTTTAGAGAGGGAGAGAGATAGAGAGCTAGAAATGTCGATGAGAAACATCGACCAGCTGCCTCCTGCACTCCCCCTACTGGGGATGTGCCCGCAACCAACGTACATACCCCTGACCGGAATCGAACCTGGGACCTTTCAGCGCAGACCGACGCTCTACCACTGAGACAAACTGGTTTCGGCAGGATTAGGTTTTAGATTAGGTTTAGGGTTAGTATTAGGTTAAGAGTAGTATATGTTTAGGGATAGGGTTCCAATTGAATATAACATTAAACAGTTAAGATTAAGTTTAGTGTTGAATTTTGGTATAAGTTTAGAGTTAGGTTTGATGTTAAGATTAGAGCTAAATTAAGGTTAGGATTGAAATTAGTAATATCTTTGGGTTAGGGTTGGTTTTATGTCAATGGCTTCTCATCTGAAGGAGTCTTTAATGTCCATCACTGAGTGTCAGAGACAAGGGAAGATGTTCATTTGCAGTTAGACATCTGATAAAGTCCCTTCCAATGAGGTTGGAGAGTGAGTGGATTTTATTTTCTTTTCTTTAAAAAAGAAACATTATCTAAAGTCTGTGCCTTCTGCAAGCTTTCTGTGAAAGGAAGTGATTAATTCCCAACTTGGCAATTTCTTAAAGTGACTCTATCAAACATTGGCAATAATGTAAGATGTCTCCTTTCAATAATTCCAGCTCTTAAGTTCCTTCATCTATTTTAAGTCAGCTTAAATGCACTATCATGCATGAAGGAATGCAAAAACTGAAATTTGGGCAGCCAGGAATCATTAAAGAACCAAATGGTTGTCTTGGGTTTCTTCTAGCACTAACTATTCATTTAATTTACAATCCCCATACAATATACCTTAAGTTTTTTACCACTTATTTTACAATGCTTCCCATAAAAGATAAATATTTTGAGAGGTTCCAGAGGTCCTTCTGCAATACTGCAATGTTATTTTTACATGTAATATTGAGATTTTAATCCATAAAACCTCAATTTTTAATGAAAACTAAGAAGTAAGCAATTAGCATTCTTTATATTGGACATTTTATAATTTCTAGTAACATTTCATAGACATCAAAGTCAATAATTATAGACTTATTTTTGTAAGACCTGGGTAAAATATTAATGATTCAAAAATTTAAAGTAACAAAAATTTAAACTAACATTTATTAAAGATTAATTGTAGATCATGTAAACTTAAAAAAGCATTTGAGCTCATTTTTATATTTTAGAATAACCAATCCTTACTAGTGTTTGCCTTTAAATTAATTTTAACAATACCACCTGAAGGTAGAACATTATCTCACATTTAAATACATATATAAATAGGCACAAAGAGAACAGTTGGTTCAAAATTTTATTTGGGAGACATTTTATAATATACCAGAGGTCCAGTGCACAAAATTCAGGCATGGGGCTGGGATGGTCCCTCAGCCTGGCCTGCACCCTCTTGCAATCTGGGACTGCTGGCTCCTAACTGCTCGCCTGTCTGCCTGCCTGCTTTCCCCTAATGGCTGCCTGCCTATCTGATTGTCCCCCATGACTGCCTGCGTGCCTGATCACCCTTAACCAACTCTACTTCAGCCCTGCTGCGGTGGCTTTGTCCTGAAGGTCTTCGGCTGTCTGGTCTAATCAGTGTATTGTGCTTTTATTGTTATTGATATATACTAGTGACCCAGTGCTTGAATTCGTGCATCTTGAAAGAAACTATAGGCCAAGAGGCTGCAGTGCCTCCACCTGGCCCCTCCCACTGCAGCCCCTGGTCCTGTCTGCTGGCATCCCTGTTCCCACCACCACTCCCATGTGCTGACAGAGCAGAGCGGTTGGGGTTGGCACCAGCAGCAGGTGCCAGTGGTGGCTGCTGTCCCTATAGCTCCTAAGAGCAGGGGGAGGTGGAGAGTCCCAGAGGGATATTGGGGCTGGTAGCCACCACTTGCACCCACTGATGGCGCAAGTAATTGGGGATGACACAGTGTTTGGGGCTGGTGCTAGATGTCTGCCAGCAGCAGGTGTGAGCAGGGCCAGTACTGGCAGCAGGTGCGAGTGTTGGATGGGGACTGCAGCGTGTGGTAGCAATGAATTTTCAAAAATCACCAAAGACTCACCCTGATGACAGTGACTGGTGTGCTACTGTGGTCTGATGCCCCCATTCACCTGCTCCACCATCCCACTGCAGCTGACACCCGCCATGTTCTGCGTGTGCCCCCGATGGTCAGCACAGGTCATAGCAACCAGTTGTTAGGTTGTTCCATCGTTCGGTCTATTTGCATATTAGGGGGATATGTGTGTGTGTGTATATGCATATATAATGTCCCTGACAAGTCAAGTGCCAAATGACCTTCCCCCTTTTAAAATCAGGACAGCCATCCTATATAATAAAAGACTAATATGCAAATAGACCGAATGGTGAAACGACTGGTTGCTATGATGCACACTGATCACCAGAGGGCAGCTGCCCCCTGGTGGTCAGTGTGCTCCCACAGGGGGAGCACTGCTCAGCCAGCAACAGGGCTCACAGCTGGCAAGTGCAATGGCAGTGGTGGGAGCCTCTCCCACCATCACAGCTGTCAGACATCCCTCAAGGGCTCCTAGACTCTGAGGGCACAGGGCCTCTAGTATTCAATAAAGAGGCAGTGGATAAGTGCACAGACTGTCTGGGTTCAAATCTGGGCTCTATCATTTACTAACCAGTAACTCAGGTAAGTAACATTAAGTGTATCATACCAGTTTTCTGATCTGTAAAACGAGAATATTAATAGCCTGTATATTTGAAGCTTACATTGAATACTCAATAAGTGAATATTCATAAGGCATTCAGAAGAATGTCCAGTATATAGAAAGTTATATAAGTGACTGATCATTTATTAATATATTGAAGTACTTAGCTATAAAAATTATGGCCCCAACATAAAAAGCAGTTCACAAGAAAATAATAATCCTGTTGCTTAGTTACATTGCATCAAATATGTAAACAAAAATTACAAAAATGTTAATTTATAACCAAAATGGAAGACTTGAATACACATCTATTACTAAATATAAATAAGTTTGAGGAAAAAACTGAATGTGCATATGATATAAAAAAAACAATTAGCTTGGGTTATAGGCATACACTCTATATTTAAAAATTACAGAATGCACATTTTTAAACAAATATGAAACATAAAATCTGACTAATAGATTTACCAGTAAAATATTGCTTTCAACTGGATATTAATACCTCCTCAAAACTAAATCCCCAAAATCACTTGGGCTCTAATCACTCAGAGGTAACTTTTAATAATTTAAAGAGAAGCCTAAGAAGAAGCAATCTAGAATTGACACAGCCAATCAGAAGTTTCCTAGGAGCCCATATCATTGTGATTTTTTAAATCCTTATAATTAAGATATAGCTTTTCTAGGCCTTGAGCACACTTTCAAGGGAAAAAATAATTAAGGTGAATAGAATTTAGTGAGGCAAACAAGCCAGATGATGTTATACCCAGTGACTTATACCTACTTATGGTCAGCAGAGGAGGTCAACACATCCTTGGGTTTCAGGAAAGCTTTCCATACTTAGAATTTTTAATACTGCTTGACAACTTGAACAAAATGTGTTTTTAAAAAATATATATTTCTTATTGATTTCAGAGAGGAAAGAAGAGGGAAAAGAGAGAAACATCAATGATGAGAGAGAACCATTGATTGGCTGCTTTCTGCATGCCCCCTACTGGGGATTGAACCCGCAACCCAGGCATAAGCCCTTGATTAGAATTGAACCTGGGACCCTTCAGTCTGCAGACTGACGCCCTACCCACCAAGCCAACCAGCTAGGGCAACAAATGTTTTTTTCTTTAAGTAGGGGAGAATGGGCACTGGAGAAGCTAAAAGTAACTGCTATACTAGGATCTACCCTAATAAAAATAACATGCTAATTGACAATACCTTTGCAATGCCCCCTAGCCAATCGGGAGTGACTATGCAAATTAACCCAATAAAGATGGCAGGTTAATTTACATATGCAGTTGCTGAGTGGCCAGGGGTGGGGTGAGACCTCAGATGCTCCAGGCCTCTGGGAAGCATGGGAAGGTGGCTCCGGCCAGTGCAAAGAAGGTGCTGGCAGTCAGGGGAAAGAAGGCCCATTCTTGCACGAATCTTCGTGCGTCGGGCTTCTAGTATAAATAAAAAAAGAATCAACATCATAAAGTCCACTTGACAAAATGCCATTGAGAAGAAAAGTATATAGCACATACAGTGTTTCATTATGATAAACTAAATCACTGAGGAGATATTCAGAAATACCTTTGTCATGTATTGATATCTCTAAAGAGTAAATATGACATACCAAACTAATACAAAATTTAAGGTTTATTTTAGGGTACAGCTATAGACATAAATGTTTATACTAAAACATAACTAAAAATTAATAAATTAATGCATCAATCTAAGGATTAGACACTGTTAAAGGTAATATACCCCACTCTTAAGGTTTACATTTTCCATTCCAGGTTTAAATTATTTTGTGGCTACTCAGTGAATAGGTGAGGCTGAGCCATCCTTGTACTGATTACATTCCTAGAGTCTTCCTCTACCGTGAATTCTCACAAGTCAACAAAGAGGAATCATGGAAAGATCTTCCAAAATTAATACAATGACAGGTTTTGCGTCCAGGGGAATATTTCAAATTTTTCTAATGTAACAGGTATCATTAAAGGCATTCCCTCAATCTTTATATTCTTTGCAGTGAGTTCTCATAGTTTCCTAAGAATGAGAAAAAGGGAAGACTTTCCAGTACTGATTACATTTAACAGGACTTTCTCCTCACATCTCTCAAAAAACTGAGAGAACATTAAGGCTTTCTTGTTGCATTCACCATCGTTTGCTCAGTAACATAAATGTCTGTGCTGAGGGAGTTTTCACATTCCTTATATGAGTATTACTCTGTACTGATTTATCACGTGTATTGGGACATTAAGGTGAGTTTGAGCTGAAAGTTTTCCACAAAGATTGCACTCGAGGTTTTTCTCCAGAGTGATTTAACCTGAGAGTTGCACAATATCAAATTGATGGAAAGCTGAAGGGCCTTGCTTCATTGATTTTATGACGAACTTCTCAGATGTTTCCCAAGGATCTCCTCTCTCCTGGTATACACTCCTGGTGTAGTCTTCTTCCACATTGTATCAGGATTGGTCTGTGTGTCCAATACAGTATGGAAGAGATAACATATCCTTCCAAGGCTAGGTTATAAAAGACAACATGGCTTCGGTATTAGCTCTCTCTCAGATCAAATGTTTTGGAGGGAACCTGATACTGCACATAAAAATACTCAGGCCCATGGAAAATCCTACATGGTGAGGAAATGAAGGTTCCCTGGCAACATCCAGCACTAAATTTCTAGGTATGTGAGTCAGCCATTTTGGAAAAGACTCTTTGGCCATAAAAATACAGATGACTATAGCTTCTGATGATTATCTTGACTGCACCCTCATGAGAGACACTGAGCCAGAACTACAAAATTAAGCCAATTATGAACTTCTGACTTTCAGAAATTGTGAGATAAGTGTTTGTCATTTGAAACCATTCTGTTTGGGAGGGAAATTGGCTAGGCAGCAATAGGTAACTCTTACACCTGGCATGAGTTACCACCAGTTGTCTGAGGGATTAAAAAAATCAATGAATGCTTTCCCTGTTACTGTATTCAAATCCACCTATTATGTATCCTCTTATGCACAGAAAGGTAAGAATTAGTGGTGAAAGATTTTCCACAATGGTTACATTCATAGGGTTTTTCTCCAGTGTGAGTTCTCACATGTTTCTTAACAGCTGAGAGATTATTAAAAGCTTTTCCACAGTTACTGCATTCATAGGGTTTCTCTCCAGTATGAATTCTTTTGTGCACAGTAAGAGAAAAGCTACTACTAAAGGATTTGCCACATTGATTACACATATAGGGTTTTTCTCCAGTATGAGTTCTCATATGCTGTGTCAGATATGAGCTCTTTCTAAAGGTTTTCCCACAATCATGGCACTCATAAGGCTTCTCCCCTGTGTGGATACTATTGTGCCCAGTAAGAGAAGATCTCGTGCTGAAGGCCTTTCCACACAGATTACATTCATGATGATTCTCTCTTGTATGAATTCTCTTGTGGCTTTTGAGGTTACAACTGGTACGGAAAACATGAAAACATTGGTTACATTCATAAGGTTTTTCTCCAGTGTGAATTCTTACATGCAGTCTGAGAGATGAGGGATCATTGAAGGCTTTCCCACAGTCATTGCATTCATAAGGTTTCTCCCCATTATGTATTCTCTTATGAATAGTAAGATAAGATCTACTGCTGAAAGATTTTCCACATTGATTACAGTCATAGGGTTTTTCTCCAGTATGAATTCTCTTGTGTTGAGTAAGGTTAGATTTTGTGCTGAATACTTTAAAACACTGATTACATTCATTAAGTTTCATTCCAACTTGATTTCTTTCCTGTTGATAGAGAAATGATAACTAATTTGTAATATTTTTAATATTCAGTGTTGTCATACAAATTCTCTCTCCCAGGAATTATGCTAATTAATATAACTGATGTTTTCACTATTTTCAGTGCTTATGTAAGATATCTACCTAGTCAGAGCTCTTATAAGTTAAAAAAGATATAAGTCCTTACCATACAAGAGCATTTTTTGATAAATTTAAGACCACTTTATGATTCAACAGACAATATCTTAGTCACATTTATGGAAATAATTTACTTCTGGTAACTCAGTAAAAAAAATTAGTTTGAAGCTAACATATAATTTCCTCCAAATTCACAATTTTTCCATAATATCTCTCTAGAGACACCATTTTATCGTGTGTAAATGTTACTTTCTTCTTATGATACTCCTTTTTATCTTGTGGCTTTTCTAACTTAGAGAATTCTTCTGTGAAAAACCAAGAATCACCATTTTAGTCTTACCTCTTTTACACCGTTAGAACGTTTTTTCCTAAAAACATGCTTCTTAGGTGTTAACCATTTGGTTTTAAGTATAGTTTCCAAATCTGAAACAAATTGAAAAGGAATTTAAGTATACACATGGGTAAAGCTAGACTCTGAGAGATTAGGATTTTTGAGGAGATTTGTAGTGAAAAGGATAAGAGTAATCAAATTGCAGGGTTAAAAAAAGGATTCTAGGAGGATTAAGATTTGTCAGAAATTTATAAAAGAAGGAATTATCAGGGATATAAAGTAGAAAGAAATTGGACAAAAAGTTAAAGACTGAAGCAAAACAAAACAAAAACAAGGGGAGATGAAAGCCCAAGTTCAAAGTAAAGTATAAGATGCTGAACAGCAAGTTAAAAGGGAAAAAATGCTTATACAAATGTTCTTGGCCAGCTCCATTAGAAAAAAAGACATTTTACAAAGTTCTCTAAGATTTCTTAATGTAATACTTCCATGTCCCAACTCACTGGCTACAGCTATTCCTCACAGAGTCATATCTACCTGGTGCTCACCTGAACAAATGCCTGGGAGAATTCCTCTTCCCTCTGTCATCACCTTGTCTTCTTGCTCCAACTGAGAGATTAGGGTGAGTTTATCAACATGATACCCTAATCATGGAGAAAAGATATGTTGAAGGCGGACTGTGCAGGTGACAAGGAACTCCATGAAACTGAAGCCAACAATTCTAAAGAGGCCAAGTGAGACTTTTTAGAGTAAAGGAATAATTACACTTAAATTCTAATGAATACTATAACTCCCAAGGAACAAAAATACAAGTATCCTTATTCAATATCTAAGTGATAAGGCATAAATATAGTAGGCCCTTGAATGAGGGGATTAGGGTACTGACTATCTGCACAGTCAAAACTCCGCATTTAATTTGATCCCCCCAAAATTTTAGTTGTCCCTTGGTATCCGTGGGAGATTGGACCTCCTGTGGATACCAAAATCCACAGATGCTCAAGTCCTTTATATAAAATGGCATAGAACAATGCATATATTGGCTTTCTACATTCACAGATTCCCAATCCATGGGTCAATAATACTGTTTTGTTTTTTAAAATATATTTTATTGATTTTTTACAGAGAGGAAGAGAGAGGGATAGAAAGTTAGAAACATCGATGAGAGAGAATCATCCATCAGCTGCCTCTTGCACACCCCCTACTGGGGATGTGCCCGCAACCAAGGTACATGCCCTTGACCAGAATCAAACCCAAGACCTTTCAGTCCGCAACCCGACGCTCTATCCATTGAGGCAAACCGGATTCGGCAATAATGCTGTTTTTTATCTGTAGTTGGCTGAATCTTCAGATGTGAAGCCTGAAGCTGTGATGGACCAACTGTATAATTATTGAAAATGTCTATGTATAAATGGACCTATACAGTTCAAACTTATTCAGGGGTCAACTATAGTGTCAAAGCCCATCTCAAAGTCTAAATTACACACATTGGAAGCTCTAAAGCTTTTAACTCTGGAGATATAAAGTCAGGGTAAAAAACAAATATTCAGTTCATAGGGTAGGCATCAGTAACAAAGCTCCGTGAGGGTGGAGAACATGTTTGTCTCATTCATCACTGTACTCCTAAACCTAGCGCAGATCCAGGAATACAGAAGTGCTTAAGAAATTCTAGTGAGAAGTCATGACATTGAAAACAAGAAATACTAAGCTCTAAAAGCCCATCCCTACACAAGAGCAATGAGTAAACTGGCAAAAATCTTTAAGAGTTTACTAGAATTCTGGAGACTTATCAAAAGATTATATCGATAGCAACCAGGAAAATGCTTAATCAAGGGAAAAAAAACAGCTGACATTTTAACCGATCCTTGACTGATTCTCTATTTCATGCTTTGGCCATGACCTTGAAGACAACAGCCCACATTCCTAGTTTTGGAGGAAGCAGAATGGATTCAGGAACTGTGATTATTTGTTAGACCTTTCTGAAGGTTTGGCTTAAAAGGTTTGCCTTCATTTATCTAATCCCAAACTCTCCAAGAGCTGAGCTGGGTTAAACACATTCAAAGGCAGATATATCAGCCACCACTATCGGAAGCAGGGAAAACAGAAGAGAACAAAAGATTTACTGAACACTTGGAAGGAAAACAATATGTTTTGGGGAATTTTTGATAAGTTCTTTCATATTCCTTTTGTAGTTGAAAAAAGGGTGCTATAATAAATAATTAATTCCTGCCATAGCTAGTTTGGCTCAGTGGATAGAGCATCAGCCTGAGGACTGAAGGGTTCAATTCTGTTCAAGGGCACAAACCTGGATTGTGGGCTCGATCCCCAGTAGGGGCTATAATGATTCTCTCTCATCACTGATTGTTTCTATATTAAAAAAAAAAAAAGTTAATAAATTCCTAATTGGACAGGTCATGGTGGGTAGTCATACAACAATAACTTTGTTTTTCAGAATAGTTTATGATTTTTAGAGAGAGGATGGGAGGAGAGAAACATTGATGTGAGAGTGCAACATTGATTGGTTAACTCCTGCATGATTCCCCCTACTGGGATCAAGCCCGCAACCTGAGCATACAGGCCTTTGACCAGGAATAGAACCGGCAACCCCCTGGTGCACAGGACAACACCCAACTAACTAGGCAGCACTGGCCGGAGCACAACATAACCTTTAAAAAAAAAATCTTTAGAGAGGTTTTTAAGTAAGGCAAGCCCTGCCCATTGGTCTTGAGCATCTAAATTAACAGAGTTTATTTACACCTCTCCCCACCCCCCCCCCCAAAAAAAAAAAAAAGCATGACTACCCTCAGGAAAGTGCATAATCTTAACCATCCTGTAATCTGATCTACACCTTGCTTTCTTCCATTTTCCTGTAAACTTTCTTGTGTTCCCTCAATTTCAAATGCATAAAAGAAACTGAAAAACTGCTATTCTCCAGAGCATTTGAGATTTTGATTCCTGGTAATTGTCATCAGTTTTGCTCAAATGAACTCTTATAAATTTTTTTTTTACAAGTTTTGGCTGTTTTTTACATTGACACTTTTAATCTTTTGTATGCCTTTTGCATACTCAAAGTGGGCACATGCTCAGAAAAGACCTGAAAAAGCACTAAGTCCTCAGCTATGACTGACCTTTAGGCTTTTTTCATAAGCAGGCTGTGAAGCTATGGAGAGTGTAAACCCCCATTATATACTCAGAGCCCATCTGCAGAGACTAGGAGACTTTTGTTTGTTTTTGTTCCAGGTATACAAGGAGTTCTCAACATAGCAGAGTCTTAAGTAGCCACAAACAAATATAGATATTACCAAATTAGTTTAGAAACATCACTAAACATACAGCAAAAACAAACCCTGGGGATGAGAAAAAGCTGATTCTAAAATTGCCATATGATAGTATTCAAATGTCCAATTTTTAGCCAGTAAAATTACAAGGCAGGCAAAGAAATAATTTTATGGCCCAATATAGGAAAAAAAGAAAAGAAAAAGAAAAAGAAATGGTCCCTGGGGAAACCTAACCATTAAGCTTAGTAGATAAAGAATTTTAAAAAATATACTTTATTGATTTTAGAGAGAGAGAGGAAAGAAGAGGTAAGGAGGGAGAGAGAAGCATCAATGTGTGAGAGAAACATTGCTTGGCTGCCCTCCCACAACCTGGGTATGTGCCCTGACTGGAATCAAACCAGTGACCTTTTGGTGCACAGGACGATGCTCAAGCAACTGAGCCATACTGGACAGGGCTAGATAAAGAACTTAAAAATACCTATTTTAAATATACTTAAAGATCTAAAGGAAACCATGTACAAAGAACTAAAGGAAACAATAAGAACAAATACTGATCAATAGAAAACATGTTCAAGATAGAAGTTATTTTACAAAACTACATAGGTATTTTGCAATTGAAACATACAGTAACACAAGCAAAACATTCAGAAGAAGAGTTCAACAGCAGGTTTGAATAGGCAGACTAGAGAATTAATGACCACGAGATAGGAAAATTTATATCACTCACTCTGAAAAATAGAAAAAAAAAATGAACATAGCCTAAATGACCTGTGGGATACTATCAAACATATCAACAACATCCACATAATGGAAGTTCCTTAAGTAGAGAAAGAATGAAGTAGAAAAGAATATCTGAAGAGATACTTAACCAAATTTGATGAAAAAAATATATATATACACTACCAAGATTAAAACACCCCAGATAGGTTAAACTGAAAAAGACAGAGAAATCACTTCCAATAGTAATGTATCTACTTTACAAGAAATGCTAATGGGACTCTTTCAAACTGAAATAAAAGGACAATGAATATTAACTCAAATCTACAAAAAAAAAAAAAGAATACTGATAAGGAGAATATATAGGTAAGTGTAACTGTCAATAATAATAGCTTTTTTGGGGGTTTTATTAGTATAACACCTTCATTTCTGTTCTGTAATTTTTTTCCTATATGACTTGGCTCAGTGGATAGAGCATTGGCCTATGGACTGAAGGTCCTAGGTTCAATTACAGTCAAGGGCATGTACCTTGGTTGTAGGCTCCTCCCTGGCCTGGGCCCTGGTTGGGGAACATGCAAGAGGTAACCAATTGATATATTTCTCTTACATCGATGATTCTCTCTCTGTCTCTTCCCCTCCCACTCTCTCTAAAAATCATAGAAAAATATCCTTGGGTGAGGATTTAAAAAAAAAAAAAAAAGAGAGAGAAATGCCTAAAGCAATAATTGTAAATCTATGTAAATCTATATTAATAGCCATACAATGTATAAGATGTAAGGGGTGATAAAGCATTATAAAGTGAGGGAGAAGGTGTGCAGAGTATAGCTATATAGGAACAAAACTTTGGTATGCTATTGAACAAAGTTGGTATTAAATAAAAATAATTATAAATTAAAATGTTAATTATAATTCCCAGGACAGCTACTAAAAAATAACTTAAAAATATATACAAATGTCACCCCAATAAATTCAATAAAAAAACAAAACTAAACTGAACAAAAAATAAGTGGGGAATTAAAATGGCCCACTAGAAAATATAAAACACAAAAATGTAAATAATAATGGAGGAATTGAGAAATAAATAGAACACAAATAACAAAATAGCATGAATAGGTTCTTCTTCATCAGTAACTAGAGGCCTGGTGCACGAATTTGTGCACGGGTGGGGTCTCTTGGCCTGGCCAGCAACTGGGGCCCTCTCACCCAGTCCCAATCATTGGATCCCAGCAGTCAGAGCATCTGTCCCCTGGTGGTCAGTGCTCATCATAGCTACTGGTCAGACATTTAGAATATTACACTTTTATTATATAGGATTATCTTACATGTAAATTGATTAATTTATGTCCGACTAAAAGGCAGATTTTGGCAGAGTGGACAAAACAATCATCCAATTATATGCTATCTTTAGGACACTCACTTTACATCTAAAGACGTTAATTGGTTGAAAGTCAACTGCTGGGAAAATTTATTCCATGAAAATAGCAGATAAAATAAAGATTGTGTAGCTATATTAATTTCAGGCAAAATAGATTTTAAGACAAAAATTTCTATAAGACACAAAGAAAGGTATTACTTAATAATAAAAAGGTAACTTCATCAAGAAGATATAACAATCAGAGACATATATGTACCTAACAAAACAGCTCAAAAATATATAAATTCAAAATTGATAGAATTGAAGGGAGAAATAAAGACTACAGTAATAGTTGTAGACTTCAACATACCATATTGAAAAATAGGCAGAAAACTAGGTAGAAGACCAACAAGGAAACAGAGGACTTAGTCAATCCTATACATTAGTGGTTGTCAAACCGGGGCTCTCGAGTCACATATAGCTCTTTGGCCCCTTGAGTGTGGCTCTTCCACAAAGTACCACGGCCTGGGCGAGTCTTTTTGGAAGAAGTGGCGTTAGAAGTTTAAGTTAAAAAAAATTTGGCTCTCAAAAGAAATTTCAGCCGAAACTGGTTTGGCTCAATAGATAAGAGTGTTGGCCTGTGGGCTGAAAGGCCCCAGGTACTATTCCAGTCAAAGGCCTGTACCTTGGTTGCAGGCACATCCCCAGTAGGTGGTGTGCAGGAGGCAGCTGATCAATGTTTTTCTCTCATCAATGTTTCTAACTCTCTATCCTTCTCTGTAAAAAAAATCAATAAAATATATTTTTAAAAAATTTCAAAGGTTGTACTGTTGATATTTGGTTCTGTTGACTAATGAGTTTGCCGACAACTGCTATACACTAATTGGACCTAATCCTCTCTACTAATAAAAGGGTAATATGCTAATTAGACCAGGTCAACCAGACATCTTCTGGATGTCCGACTTCCTTCCGGAAGAGCAGGAGGCTAGAATTTCCCCAGACAATGGAGGAAGCCAAGCTTCTGCAGCCCTGGCTGGCTCAGGCCTTCACTCCAGGCTACAAAGTTTCAATTATAGAAGATACATAAATTCCAACAGAAATGGCTGCTGCCATGGAGTGAGCAGGAGGCTTGGTTCCACTCCAGACTACAAAGTTTCAATTGTAGAAGACAAATAAAACCCAGATACTAGGGCCTCCATTTGAGTTGGGGAGGGGGGGGGATTGGCCAGCCTGCAAACCACCACAGGCCCCTCACCAAGGCCACCCCACGCCCCAAGGGAACCCCCACCCTGATCCAGGACACCCTTCAAGGCAAACCAGCTGGCCCTACCCATGCACCAGGTCTCTATCCTATCTAATAAAAGAGTAATATGCAGACTGACCATCACTTCAACACACAAGATGGCTATCTCCATGTGGTCAAAGATCCTGCCCCCATATGGACACAAGATGTCCACCACAAGATGGCCAGCAGGGGAGGGCAGTTGGGAGTGACCAGGCCTGCAAGGGAGGGCAGTTGGGGGTGATTAACCCTGCAGGGGAGGGCAGTTAGGGGTGACCAGGCAGGCAGAGAATAGAAGTTGGGGGCAAACAGGCTGGCAGGGGAGTAGTTAGGCATCAATCAGGCTGGCATGGGAATGGTTAGGTCATCAGTTAAGATGAAATGCAAATCAAAACTGGCAGGCAGAAGTGGTTAGGGGCAATCAGGAAGGCAAACAGGCGAGCAGTTGGGAGACAGCAGTCTCAGATTGGAGAGGGTGCAGGCTGGGCTGAGGGACCCCTCCTCCTCCCATGCAAGAATTTCGTGCACTGGGCCTCTAGGAGCTAATAAGATCAAAGCAATAATAAAAATACTTCCAACAAACGAAAGTCCTGGACCCTTTTGTGCACTTGCTGGAATTGCAAACTGATGCAGCCCCTTTGGAAAATAGTATGGACAATCCTCAAAAATCTAAAAATAGATATACCATACAACCTAGCAATTCCACTTCTGGGTATTTACCCAAAGAAATAAAAAACACTAATTTGAAAAGATACATGTATTCCTATGCCCATTGCAGCATTATTTATAATAGTCATGATATGGAAGCAACCTAGTGTCCATCAACAGATGAATTGATAACAAAAATGAAGTACAGCCCTAGCTGGTTTGGCTCAATGGATAGAACGTCGGCCTGCGGACTGGAAGATCCCAGGTTCGATTCCGGTCAAGGGCATGTACCTTGGTTGCGGGCACATCCCTAGTGGGGAGTGTGCAGGAGGCAGCTGATTGGTGTTTCTCTCTCATTGATGTTTCTAACTCTCTCTCCCTCTCCCTTCCTCTCTGTAAAAAAATCAATAAAATATATATTTAAAAAAATGAGGTACATATACACAATGGAATATTATGCAGCAATAAAAAAAAGAATGAAATATTGCCATTTGTGACAACATGGATGACTCTAGAGGGTATTATGCTAAATGAAATAAGTCAGGCAGAGAAAGGCAAATACTGTATGGTGACACTTATACATGGAATCTCAAAAACAAGAACAAACAAAACAAAAACAGACTCACAGAAACATAGAACAAAGAGATGGTTACCAAAAGGGAGGGGGGTGGGAGAATGGATGAAAAAGAGGAATATAGCCAATAATATTGTGGATAGGTTTGTATGGTGAAATTATTACTAGAATTAGTGGGTGATCACTTTGATATAGAAATATCAAATCATTATACTGTACCCTGAAACTAATATTATATAATATTATGTACAATATAATATTACATACCAACTATACTTAAATTTTTAAAAAAATATGTATTTTATTGATTTTTTTTACAGAGAGGAAGGGAGAGGAATAGAGTTAGAAACATCCATGAGAAACATCGATCAGCTGCCTCTTGCATATCTCCCTCCTGGGGATGTGTCCACAACCAAGGTACATGCCCTTGACCGGAATCAAACTTGGGACCCTTCAGTCTTCAGGTTGATGCTCTATCCACTGAGCCAAACCAGTCAGTATTTAAAATACTTAAATTTAAAAAATTAAATTAAAAAAGAAAATGAAAAGATACCACAGACTGGGAGAAATTATTGCAAGTCATATTCTGAATAAGGGTATAGTATTCAGGATATATAATGAACTTTTACAAGCCAAGAACAACAAAAAAAAAATAACTAAATTTAAAAGGCTTGAATAAACATTTCTTCAACGATATACAAATAGTTAACAAGGAGATGGAAAAATGTTCAAGGTCATCAGTTAGGATGAAATGCAAATCAAAACAAGATGCCACTTCATACCCACATGAATGGCTATAATAAAAACAACAAAAACAAACGTTGGGGAAGATATGGAGAAATCTCAACTCCTGTATTGCTACAGATGCTGGGGAAACAGCTGGGCTGTTTCTTAGTAAGCTAGACATAGTGATATACGACCCAGCACTCCATTCCTAGATATATACCCAAGAGAACTGTAAACATAGGTTTAAATAAAAACTTACATACAAAAATGCATAGCAATATTAACTTATAACAGCTTGTTATGTGGAAACAACCCAAATGTTTATCAACCACTGAATGGGTAAACAAAATATTGTGTACCCACAAAATGAAATATTATTCAGTCATACAAAGGCATAAATAACTGAGATACATGCTATAACACAGTCTGCAGGTTGATACTCTATCCACTGAGCCAAACCAGTCAGGGCTATACTTAAATTTAAAAAATTAAATTAAATTATACATTTTACTTCCTGAAAGCAACCAGAAAAGAGCACATATTTTATGATCCAATGATATAAAACAGGCAAATTCATAGAGTCAGAAAGCAAATCAGTGGTTGCCAGCAGCTGGGAGGGGGAATGTAATGAGTATTGACCACTGAATGGGTGCGAGTTACTTTTTGTGGTGATGACAATTAGATAGTGCTGATGGTTGCACAACACTGTGAGTACATCAAAGCCACTGAATTGTATGCTTTAAAAATGGTTATGATAGTAAATTTTATGTTATGTGAATGTTGCCTCAATTTAAAAAAGAAGGAAAGACTTGTTGCCTGAGTTAAGAAATAAATGCAGGAACGGTGTCAGGCTTACCAAGCGATGCCAGGTTCCTGCAGTTCTCCAGCATCACATCTTTGTACAGTGTTTTCTGAGAAGGATCCAGCAATGCCCACTCTTCCTGGGTAAACTCAACGGCCACATCCTTGAAGGTCACCATGTCCTAAAGTCATCGAAAACATTATGGCTTAGCCAAGGACCACTGAGGTTATACAGGAAAAGGGCCAAGGATAGCAAGAGTGGGGACCGGGAATTCAAAGCAGAAGGTGTATTTTATATCTTAGAGTTCTGGGCTCTACTCTAACCTGCTTTTGGACTCAGCCCTCAATCTCAAAGCCTGAACATAGGCCTGGAACATCGCAGAAATCAGAAATACTTGGTAAATGCATGAATGATTTCCTAATGGCCACCATCAATTGCTTGAGTTTAGGAAACAGTCACATCTTTCCTTAGGGCTCCCTTAAAAACTATCAGCAGAACGTGAGAGAAGGACCTGCAGGAGACTTTGCAATGTAGTAAATATTGACATATCCTGACCTTGTTTGGGCAGCCCCTCACCCTCCATTAGATGCTCAGAGATCTTGGATGCCTGAAGATCTGGTTTGGCTGTAAGGCTCCAGGTCGTTGAAAGATAACAAGTTCAACTTTTGGCCAAAAAATAATGATTTGGAAAAAGAAACATGACTCACCGTTAATCCGCTTGTCAGGAAGCCATTAACAAACCCTTCCTCCTCTTTGCATCCTTTTTGAGGGGGTGCTGGGTACAGGGGAGACTGAACTGGAGAAGTAGAAATGAATCATAAATAAGTCACAAGAATCCAGTGTACTATATACTCTAGCACTCACAAACTTCCCCCTACCTGTGAACACACAGACACACACACACACACACACTGATTTTTTTATTAAAAACTAGAGCAGAGCTCTGTCTCACCAGGGCCAGAAAACAGAGCTTGAGAGTTATACTACACTTGAGAAAGAGATTATTCACGTTCCACAGACGAGGAATTTGAAAATCCAAGGGACATCATTGTCATTTAATCAGGTTTATAAAAAGAATTACAGATAAAATTCAAAAGCTCCTGCACCTTTATCACACAGGTGACAGCTCCACAGTCATACAAACTACTAAAACCCCAAATACCCAAAACCTAATTAGGTACCAGTGACCTCTGAGCTCCACTCCTGCCTCACCTGCTCAGCCCCTCCCCTACCTCCTCGGTAGTACAGGGGTCGTTAACACCTGGCCTCTGAGAGCTGCTGGGACCCACATCTTACCACAGGTGGGGAATAGAACCATGACACGATCCTATGATTCAGTCAGAAAAATTTCCTAAACAGCAGGACGATGGGAGAACCAGGAGGCTTCTCTTCTTACTCCCACAATGCACTCTGGAATAAATAAGATAAAATGAAAAATGCATAGCTTCTCTCTTTCTCTAGGTTACTGAGGACAAATCTATCTTAGCCTGCGCATCATGTTCTCCTTCAAAATGCAATGTCTTTGCTAGTGGGCCTTTATTTTGCCAGGCAGCTGGTAAACCCATGGCTGTGTGATGGCAACACTTACCTTCTGTCCACCATGATATGACCAGCACATTACTGCTCCACCCATTTTATTATTTACTTATTTTAATTCTCACCCAAGGCAGTATTATTTTAAAAATTTTATTTCAGAGACAGAGAGGAACATCGATGTGAGACAGAAACACTGATCAGTTGCCTTCCAATTAGGGATCATACCTGGGTATGTGCCCTGACCAGGAATCGAACCCGTGACACTTCAGTGTATGGGACAACTCTCCAACCAATTGAGCCACACCAGCCTGGGGCTGCCCCACCTCCTTTTAAATTCTCAGTTTCACTATAGTTTCATGCATGTGGTTGTCACAATCACATTCCCACCTTCAAACCCTATTCACTTAAAACTTGGGCACCTGACTTCCATCATTCTTTCAGCCTCCAGTCCTACCTCACTCAGATGATCTCAGAGGACTCACTGTGCTATGAGTTTGCTTTACTCCACCTTTGCCACACATTTCCATGGGCACCACCCTGGGCTTGCTCATCACCTGATGTTGTTTCACTATCCAGAACAATAGTACAGAAATTTCCCTCTCTCTGAACACAATCTCCCAAACTTTTCCTTTGTTCACTCATTTTTTCCTTTCACTACATGTGTCTTCTACTACATAAAGAACTCAGTCCACCTACTATACTACCTTCTTGCTACCCATCAGTCACCTCTCCCTCATTTCATGCTTACCCAGCTTGGATTACCATGTCCCTCATTTCCTCAAATTTCCTTTTCCCTAAGCCCCACCTTCAGTGTTTCAGCAGAACTCTGACCATGTGCTCTGTGGAGCACTTGGGCAGACTAGCCTGCAGGAGAACTGAACTATTGTCACTTTTATTTTTTTTTAATTTTTTTTTAAATTTTTTTAATTTTTTATTGATTTTGTACAGAGAGGAAGGGAGAGAGATAGAGAGTTAGAAACATCGATGAGAGAGAGTCATCGATCAGCTGCCTCTTGCACACCCCCTACTGGGGATATGCCCGCAACCAAGGTACATGCCCTTGACTGGAATCGAACCCGGGACCCTTCAGTCCCCAAGCCGACGCTCTATCCATTGAGTCAAACTGGTCTTGGCTATTGTCACTTTTAGACAAACATGATCACCAACATGACAAGAGCCCTCAATCCTGCAGGGCAATCCTATAAGTCAATGGAGCTTCCTACTAATCAAACCTTTTCTAATCTCTTTAAATCTCACCTTTTCCCTCTATGGCAATCAGCTTCCTATATAGCCTTAACGATTCAAGCCTCCTGACAGTCACATCTGCATTAATGAGGGCTGAGCTGTGTGACTAATAAAATGCTGTGGAGGTGATTTCTAAGCCTGGGCCACCTTCGTCTCTTGCACTGCCTGCTCTAGGGGAAGCCAAGCTGCAAGGACACGAAAGTGGTCCTGTGTCGAGACACACCTGGAGAGGAACTGAGGCCTCTCTCCAATGCCAGCACGAATGCAGCATGTGCGTGAAGCACCATGAAAGTGTATCTTTCAGCACCAGTCAGGCCTTCAGATGACTGCAGTTTCAGCTGATATCTGGCTGAGAAATCACGAAAAGTCCCTGAGCCAGAACTTTGAACCTAAGATGAATTCCTGAACTACAAAAACTGTGAGGCAGGAAATGATTACTATTATTTTAAGGGACTAAGATGAGCAGCAAACAGATAAGGAATAGACTCTCATTTTCTGCAGATGGCCCCGCATCCTACTTCTCAAAGTGACCATCCTGAGAGGAATCTACCTTCCTGAGTCAAAATGACAATCTGAACGCGGTTTCCTCCCTCTTCTGCTGTAAACCAGGAGCTGTCCCCCTTCTCTATAGGCCAGGCTACAGCTTTGTTGTGTCCCATCCCACCTGCCTTTAGAAGCTTTTGGTACCCTATTGATGACCTCTTGTTTACCCTTTAAGCTCTCCCACTCTACTAGACTCTCACCCCATTTAAATCCAATGCAGTATTTAGTGATGAAATATGTCTAATAGCACAGTTTTCTTTCCAGTTACTGCCCCATCTCTGCTTCTCATCACAGTGTTTTCACTCTCTGTCTCATTTCCTCATGTCCCACTTGCTCATCCAAACAGTATTGCAGTTAGGTGTTTACCACTACCAACCCAATTGGTAGAACTACTGATAATCTTATTCACAGAGATGTAGACTGCAGCTACACTGATACCGATTTTTATCAGTCAGATCAACAAAGACAGGGCGGGCCACTTCTTTTACTGGCAAGGCCGTAGGGAAATGCACTCTCACACACTGCTGGGGTATAACTCCTATGGAAGGAATTTGTTCATGTCAAGCAAAATGCAAAAACATTTACTCTTTCACTGTCAATGGAACTTCTAGGGATCTATTTCAATGGTAACTCAAATACTAAAAGACCTGGGTGAGTTTAGTGTAAACCCTGACATTTTTTTTCTTTTTTTGTAATGCAAGTGCCTGACTTAAGCTTTGATTGCCAAGCAACACCCATTTTGAAGAGGCATCCCGTTCAAATACAGCTGTCTCTAATAAACACATCTGGCAGTCTCAGGACCACATACGGAGGCCAGGCTGCCGCCGCTACTGAGGCTCTTTCTTTTAGAGATCTTGATTGATTTTAATAACTGACTATTTGGACTACCTGTTTTCCCTTCCTGCACTTTAAATTCTTGTTCATATGTTTTAAACTCACCAATAAAGAATGAACCCATGGGAGGAGAGAAACCAAGATGGCGGCATAGGTAAACACCTAACTGCAGCCGCACACAATTTCAATCAAATAAACTAAAATACAAAATGGACATTACCCAGAACTACAGGAAAGTCAAACGACTGGAAATTCTACAACAAGAAGGAAAGAGAAAACCAGAAGGAAGAGCGGAGGAGCTGTAAAAGCCTAAGGTATGGAGACACACAGCGCGCGGAGAGGACGGAGCCGGAGAGGAGGGGGAGGCTGAGTGCCTGGCTGGCGTTCCCTAGCGGGAAGGAGATAAAAGCTCCGGACTGTGCTGAACCCCAGTTCTGACAGCACTGAACCCCAGTTCTGGGCCAGACCCTGGAGACCAAGACACATACAGAGGGAGCCTGGGCTATAAGGCGAAACCTCAGGGCAGCGGCTAAAGGAAGTCCCAGAGGCGTGCACATTGTGCACAGAGAACGGACAGCTGACTGTGCCGCTGGATGCCCTAGCAGGACAAAAGCTCCAGACTGCTCTGAACCCCACTTCCAACCCCACTTCCAACTGAACTGAACCCCAGTTCCGGCTCATTGGGGGAGAGCCTAGACTGTTTGGTAGTGGGCGAAACTCAAGGGCACCTTTCTCTCAGAGGTGCTTGCAGCAAGTACCGAAGGACACTGAGGAACACTGAGACTCAGGAGCCTCATAGGGCGGGGCTGACGGAAGCCAAGGCTGTAGGCTCCACCCTGAAACTCTGCCCCATCCAACCTGAACAGAGACTTTTAAGGCTACCAACTCAGGGAAGCTGCAAAAATGCCAAGACAAGGAAACAGATCACAAACAAAAGAAATGGAGGACAGAAAGCGACTGGATATAGAGTTCAAAACCACGCTTATAAGGTTTTTCAAGAATTTCCTAGAAAAGGCCAACAACATAAGAGACCTATGAGGATATGAAAAGAGATAAACTAGAATAAGGGATCAACAAGAAATAAAGAATACATTGTCTGAAATAAAAAATATTATACGGAGTACTAAAAACAGAATGGAAGATCGCAAGAATCAAGTCAAAGTTTTGGAACATAAAGAGCCAGAAGACACTTCTCTGCAGAAGCAAGAAGACAAGAGAATTCAGAAAGTTGAAGATAATGTAAGAAACCTCTGGGACAACGTCAAGCGAACCAACATCAGAATTATAGGGGTCCCAGAAGAAGAGAGAGAGCAAGATACTGAAAACATACTGAAAGAAATAGTGACAGAAAACTTCCCCCACCTGGTGAAAGAATTAGACTTACAAGTCCAGGAAGCGCACAGAACTCCAAATAAAAGGAATCCAAAGAGGACCACACCAAGACACATCATAATTAAAATTCCAAGAGCAGCTGAGACTGGTTTGGCTCAATGGATAGAGCGTCGGCTTGGGGACTGAAAGGTCCCGGGTTCGATTCCGGTCAAGGGCATGTACCTTGGTTGCAGCCATATCCCCAGTAGGGGGTGTGCAAGAGGCAGCTGATCGATGACTCTCTCTCATCAATGTTTCTAACTCTCTATCTCTCTCCCTTCCTCTCTGTACAAAAATCAATAAAATATATTAAAAAAAAAAATTCCAAGAGCAAAAGACAAAGAGAGAATATTAAAAGCAGCAAGAGAAAAGCAGGTAGTTACCTATAAAGGAGCACCCATACTATTGTCAGTTGATTTCTCAACAGAAACATGCAGGCCAGAAGGGAATGGCAAGAAATATTCAAGGTGATGAATAGTAAGAACCTAAAGCCAAAAATACTCTACTCAGCAAAGCTATCACTCAGAATAGAGGGCTAAAGGAGTTCATCACCACCAAACCAGAATTATATGAATTGCCGAAGGAAGTTCTTTAGGAAGAGGAAGAAAATAAAGATAAAAATTATGAACAACAAATACGTAACTATCAACAAATGAATCTGAAAACCAAGGGAATTAAAAAATCTGATGAACAATATTAACTGGTGAATATAATAGAATCAGAGGTATGGAAGGGGAGTGAACTGACGATTCTCGGGGGAAAAGGGGAGTGGGGGTGCGGGAAGAGCCT